TCGAATGACTTTACTCTCGCAAAGATGCTCATGATGGAGCAAAACGTGAGAACAGTCGAAACATGGTGTGTCGTATTTCAGATCTTGTGAACTCTCCTAAGCAGGCAGTGTTTCTTATCAGGTGCTCAGCCTGTACAAGGAGATCTGTCTCCCCTGTGAACATCCCACAGCGATGAGTAGAGTTCTGTCCTTGTTGGAAACACAAAGCTTGGGTGGGGGCAGTGCCCTGACTGAGCTCCAGTGGCAGGCAAGCTTTCGGGACTGTGTTGGTCCAAGTGATGTCAAAAAAAAACAAATCAGCTCTTAGACATTATGTCACCTGGGTCAGTCCTCCCCCAGGTGGATGTTTGTCTCGATGGACAGCTCTAGAGTCAGCCCATCGAGACTGAAGGGCACCCTGCCCTCCCCAGACCCAGGCTGCTCTATAGAGCGCCCACTCTCCTGGGGAAACTTCAGGGGACCCCGGACACTGTTGTCTCTCTGAAGTCGATGAGGCCCACGGATTTGAATTCCTGTTACTTCACCCATGCAGCACATGTGCAATCAGAATTTAACGTAAAAATCTCTGGTGTCAGCCTTCAATCACAGGGTAGAAATGTCTGCTGGCTTGCACAGCCCTCGCCTTCATGGAAAGCTTGCCTGGTACTTTATCCACTCTGGAGACAAGAGCCCTCAGCACTTGGGGGAGCATTGTCTCTGGGTGGTACCTGCCTTCAAGCCCTGGCTTATGTCTCCCCTTGGCCAGAGAGCAAGCCAGCTGAATGTTCCTCAAAACATAGGAGTCTGTCCCCCAGTGGGGACTTTCTGCTCAAGAATAAAAATATAGAGGGCATCCACATCCCCCAAAAGAAAAGATTTCCAGTCATCCAATATCCAGTTCCTGGGAGCTTGGGGTCCAGGTAACACACATAGTACATGTGGATTAACTTGGGGAATAAACAAATGGATTAATTCATGCATGGGTGGATGGGTTTTTTTAACACTGTTGAGCCACTCATGATTCTCTTTTCTGCTTCAAAAAAGTGAGGAATGGCTCTAGAGCACACGGTGTCCGTGCAGTTGGGTGGGTGACGGTTTCCGTAAGAGCAGGGTTAAGTCACACAGGAGTTTGGGGGCCATCAGGATATTAAAAGGCTGTTGAGAGTTTATCAGAGTTATTTGGGGCTCCTGCTCATCAGTTTGCAGGTGTTTCTTTCATTAAAATAATCTGTGTCACTTGAGCTCTATTTCCACGCATTTTGCTTCGGCTCTATTTTTATAATCGATTTCTTGATTAATGGTTTGCCTCACTTTTTATATGGGAGCCCCCCTGTGGCGAAAAACGTCCCTGTGAGGTGGCAGGCTCAGGGCCACACGCCAGAGCCAGCTCGCTGCTTCAGCTGAGGATGCTGAAATGACTTCCTCTGATACATTCTTTGAGCGGTTTTTTGTCGCCGTCTCTGCCAGCATCACTACATTAGCTGATATTTGGCTAAAACGTCTGCTTGTGGCTGGGTGCTGACCCTCTAGACGAATTTTAAGCACAGCGATACGGAGGCCATGCCCCGTGTTCCAGAGAACGTGTCATGGGAGTGATCTCTGCTGCTCTGTTTAGCCTGCCAGGAAGGGAACATTTACTTCACTTTTATAGGAATAAAAGAATGTCACCATCCACTGAGTAAATCTAAGCTTTAGGGTCAAGATTATTTGCTTAGCTAGGAATGTGCACGAGGATAAACTTTACTGATGAGGGCATTTTCAAATCTGAGCTGTATTCACTGCGCCCACATTTGCCTTATTTTGAAAGCACCATTGTTTGACCATGAACATTGAATACATATGTAAAATATTCTCTTTTGTTGTCTTATTGAAAACAATTGTGTCAAGAGTAAAATACCACTGCTGTTTGTTTTTTTAATATGAAAGATGCATTATTTAAAGAGTTATCCTGATATTTCTCACTTCAGTTTTATAGCTATTGGATTGTTTTGTGAATAAACGACCATCACGTGCAGGCAAGAATGTCATCTGGAGTGAGACTGCTAATTTTGAGGTTAAGTGTCTTCTTTCCAAAATGCATAGCATCTCTGGTCTGGCTTTCAGAAGATGCTTTTGACAATAAGGGTTCGAACCGGTTAATGGAAAAAGGAAATGAAAAGATAATGAGATAGAAGTCAACATTTCCAAACCTCGTGGAGGAGGAGGCTAAAAGCCAAGCTCACCAACATACGTCGAGAAAAATGTTTTAATTAAGAAAATGTGTATGAATATTTTATTTAAATGCTCTAATTGCAACAAAACATTGGAAACAGCATCCACGTGAATCACGGGTTAAGAATGGTGGCCTCTGTGTAATTTATGAAGAGGTTAAGTGCAGCTTTTCCAATCCAGAAAAGAGAAAGAATGGCTGGAGAAACACTGAGGAAGAGAGAGACAAAGGTGAGCCTTGGTGGCCCAGCTGGGGAGCTGGCCGCGGAGGCTGGGCGGGTCAGGAGCGGGCTGTGCAGGGGCGGGGTCTGGTCCTGCAGGGGCGGCAGCGGCGGTGTCTTTGCGGGCTCTTTCTGTGACGCCCGGCACCAGCTCCAACAGCCCCTCGCAGCCCGGCGAGCCAGGAGCACTGACCTCCGGGTTAACTCTAATTGGGGCCTTCTCTAATTAGGGAAAGTATCAGCTGACTCTAATATGCAGCAAGATCATTTCCATTAGGTCAGCAGCTAACTAATTGATGTTTATGTCGCCTAAGATTTTGGATTACAATACACTCAGTTTAGCAAAATAAACCAGGCTGACCTGGGAAACCAAGATTGCATCATCTGGGGCGTCGCTCCACAAACTGTTAAGGCTTATCTGCCGGGCTTTCGCGGTTTGAGAACCAGCTCCACAGTGAGAGCGGGGCTTCTGTAAATTCAACCTCTCGCCTCTGCCTTTAGGTTATCCAGGAGGTGGAACCCGATCTGAGGTCTCCTACAAGCCCATCCAACGCAAAATGTGGGTTTTCTGGAACGTTCTCAGGGATGAAAAGTCCATTAAGCTTGTGTTTTATTGTGTCTCTTCAGCACATTTTTTTTTCATGGCAGGTAGTTATGTAATCACTATTTAAAACCTGAAATTGTCATATAAAAATTATTAACCCTGTTTTCTCAGTTTAGGCCAGATTTCCAGCTTGTCATTTACCAAGTTCAGATGTAAGCTGAATTTGTTTTAATGACATTTGATGTGGAAAACTGCTGACTTTGTGAAAAGGGTGGAAAGGGGACTTAGATTAGGACTACTTGAGCCCCCTTCTGCTCAGAAGAGAACAATTATGTGGGCAGGGGGAGCTCTCGGTGGGCATGGGGAGCTCTCGGTGGGCATGGGAACTAGGGGGGTGTATTGGTTTGGATGTAACAATCACATACAGCTACAAAAATAAAATAACTGATATGTGGTTGCATACTGTAAGAAGGCAGTTTGACCTGGGGGTCATCATGCACTATTGGATTTCTCACTCTGATTATCCACTGGTGGTTCATTGCCACCCACAATCACTTGGAAATATTTTATATTCTGTCTTAACAAGTTGCTTATTCAATAGATGTCTACTGGGTTGTTGTTCACTCACTAAATCATGTCTGACTCTGCTACCCCAAGGACTGCAGCACACCAGGCTCCCCTGTCCTTCACTATCTCCCAGAGCTTGCTCAAACTCAGGTCCATTGAGTCGGTGATGCCAGACAATCATCTCATCCTCTGTCGCCCCCTTCTCCTCCTACCTTCAGTCTTTCCTAGCATCAGGGTCTTTTCCAATTATTCAAGAAATAGATACTATTAGGCACGAGGGTTCTAAGACAGAATGTGTTTTGTGGAGTTTATTATCTCTTGGAAAAATAAATGGCAAGTATGAAGTGATAAGCTCTGGCTGGTAGAGGGTGTCACGAGAAAGGCTGTTCAGTGTATACCATATTTGCCTGTGGTTCTGACCACATAGCAAACGTGTGGGCAGTGTTGAGCCTGGCCACAGTGACCATCCTTGCTCAGGATGCTTGGTGCTACAGCCAAAGACCTCAGGGCCTGGGCACAGCTCAGCATGAGGAGCCAGGGGTGGGGCGTGGATCTTCTGGCTTTGCGCCTGACGGGGCTCACGTTCCCCCAGGCACCCTGTGGCCAGTCGCCTCCACGCTCATGGTCCTGCCTAAGCTGTGTTTCCACTGAGGACGTGGAGATAGGGAGAGGGCAGCCAGAGCACCGCTTGAACCAGGAGGCACCTGAGCCCCACCTGCGCCTTCTCTGCCTCTGGGGTAGTTTCTGGGTGGACACTAGACCGCAGTCCTGCAGCCACGGTCACCCCGTCCCCCTCGGGGGCTTGCCTGTGCCATCCGTACCCCTGTGACGGCTGTTTATTCAATAGATGTCTACTGGGTTGTTGTTGTTCACTCACTAAATCATGCCCGACTCTGCAACCCCAAGGACGGCAGCACACGAGGCTTCCCTGTCCTTCACCATCTCCCGGAGCTTGCTCAAACTCAGGTCCATCGAGTGGTCGAGAGCCAGACACCCAAATGACCCAGAGCCTCCTGTGATAACACGGCTCTGACGGGCAAGACGCTGTTGAGCCCGGGGTCGGGGCCGGCTCTCAAGGCACCCGCCCAAGTCCGGGGTTGACTCCCTCTTGGGGAGGGTCTCGCAGGGTCCATGCCTGGAGGCTGGGGCTCCAGAGGTGGGGCCAGCTGTTGAGGGCAGCTCCCAGTGCGGCCACAGCTCTGCCTCACAGCTCTGCTAACCGTCAGTGGGTGTAGACAGCCTGTCTTCATAGAAGGGAAGTCATAGAGCTCCAGAGCTCACAGGCTTCACACAACAAAGAAGGAATCCTCGGTGCCTCAGCTGGCTCGGACAGGTCCTCCAGCTCACTCAGTTATCAGATTTTAATTATATTTTTATAAAAGGAAAGCAAAGGGTTATCTTAGGGCTGGCAGATCTGCTTAGAAGCGAAGTGACTGTTCCGCCCAGGTAGACACAAAGCGGGCCTGCTCACTCATGCCCACCTGTCCTTCTTTGTGGAGGAGAAAAGGGCCAAGGGGCGGGGAGGTGTGGCTGGGGGCAGACAGACTCAGGTCACAGGAGCTGGGGTCTCCAAGCCGCATCTCAAAAGTGGATTTGCAGGCTGTGGGGCTTGTGGGGGGAGATCGGCAGAGACAGAAAGAGGAGGGGGAAAGACAGCCTGGGGGTGCGGGGGTGGGGCGGCGCTGGGATGTCTGAGTCACAAGTAAAGCGGCTCCCGGTGTTTCTCTGGACCTCAGACTGGCCAGAGGAAAGCTGACTTTGAGGCCAGGCAGAGACTCGGGTGCGTGTGTTGTTCTGCGTTCAGATGGCCCGTTCCCAGCTGGAAGCACCCCACAGAGAGGATGTGCTCCTTATGGCAGGTGCTGCTGCATTTCCACCTGGAAGGCGGGTGTGGGGAGCCGGGGTCCCGGGCAGCAGAGTCCAGCTGCTCCCAGACGAGGCACCCCCGCCCTGGGTCCCGGAAGCAGCCGGAGGTGCAAACCCGCTCGCTGGCTGCCTGTCGCTGCTTGCCCGCCATCAGTGGGAACAGCAGTAAATCCATGCTGAGGTGCAGGATACAGAGGCGTTCCTTGTTCCCAGGCCGGCTGACAGCGCTCGCTTTGTCTCCGAGCGTGGGCCTGGGTGCGCGGGCCGCCGGCGGGTTAACCATCACCCGAGTGCTCAGCATGTGACTCAGCGAAGCCGCAAGGCCTCCGGCAGCTCTGCTGTGTGATGAGCCGCCCTGGGCACACCCCCTTGTTAAGACCCAACGCCTTTATTCCAGGTGATAATTGCTACATGTGCTCACAAAATGATTTACTGTTGACGGGACAGGCTCTGGGCGCGCTTGCCAGAGGACCTCAAAGGTCATCGATGTGCACACAGGGGTGATGACAGACAGGCCTCCGCACCCGGGCCGGCCAGCTGTCACCCCAGGGAGGTGAGGAGGGCGTCCCGCCTTCCTGTCCCGCGAGCACAGGGCACGGGGTGTCCTCGGACTCGCACGAGGATGCCAGGCAGTCATCGGGGGTGACTGACAAAGACCCAGCTCTGTTTTCAAAGAGTAGGGCAGACACCCACGCTTTGGCATGCTTGGCATTGCTGAGTCTGTGGGGCAGGAAATTCCACATTGCTCCCGCTGATGGACTGTCTCTCCTTTTGAACTTGTTGTTCAGATAAACGGAGCCCCACCCGTCACCTTGCAGGAGGAACGCTCCTCTTGGCTTCAGTAGCTGGCCCCCTGCCCCACGTACAGAGCTGGGACCTTCTGGCCAGACCTGGGCAGGCGGGTCAGAGGCACGTGTGCACGTCACAAGCAGTGAGAACACACAGGTTGTAGTCCTACGTGAGCGAGCGCAGAAACCCCCAGAGGAAGCCAGGGCCCGTGGCAGAACACCCCAGCGTCTTTCATTCCAAAGGACCTTCAACCTAGCATGAGTTGTTGAGTAAAACAGAAGCTGAACATGAGCTGATGACACCTGCGATGTTCACTTACTGGCATTTCTAAAGACGCTCTGTTCCAGTCACTCTGAGGATGACTGCCTGAGGCTTTCCTGCCCGCCCTTCAGGTGATTCAAGACAGGCGGAGCCATCTACACCGGGAGAGGTCGTGGTAGAGACTGGGATTTTCTATTTGGAAGTCAGTGTAGACGCTTCCTCCCAGCCCACTGATCTCTGTGGGAGGAGATGTCCTGCCTCTTTTCTGGGGTCCACCAGTGACCAAAGGACAGAGCCAGGAAGTGGGGGCTCAGGGTTCTACCCTCCCCAATGCTGGTTTGCTTTCAACATGGTGGGCGGAGGTAAACGCTCTTTCTTATGAGCCACAGGGAAATCATCAGTTTGTATAAGGATAAATCCACTTATATCCGAAAAATAAGTAAGAATCTGAAACAATGCTTTGTACATCATGTAAGGATGAAGTGTCTGAGTTATCCTTGGTGCCCAGGACTTTAAAAGTCACTCCTAGCTGAGGAGAGCCCTGCAGACCCTGCCACTCCTGGCCTGGAAAGATGCTGATCAGTTACCATGACTACTGGCCGCTGGCCTGCCGGTGCCAACACCCTGGGCTGTGCTTAGTCACTCAGTCATATCCAGATCTCTGGGACCTCAGGGACTGTAGCCCGCCAGGCTTCTCTGCCCATCCTTTCTCCAGGCAAGGATCCTGGAGGGGGTTGCCATTCCCTTCTCCAAAAGGAAGCCAGCACCCTAGTCCTGCCTAGGTATGAAGGGTGATGACTTACATTTCTCGACTTTTGCTTCAACTCCACCTTCCTCCTTTGGCCTCCTGGAGATGAGTAGGCTTCCTGGTCTGCATCTCCCCTTGGGGCAGTGGGGGCTTGGAGCACTCATGAGGCTCTGAGGTCCATCATCCAGGGAAATGGAGAGCCACTCCTCTGACCGAGGTCTCGGGGCTCACTTGAGGAGGTCAGCCCACTCCTAACTATGAGGACGGCTTCTGTCTTCTCTGGATGTCTGGGATCTGTTGGAACCAGGAAAGGCAGGATCCACAGACAGAATGGCTGTCACAGCGCAGTGGACACACAGCTCCGACAGGGCAGCGGGCTCGTCTAGGCCCCTGGAAGCCACCCAAACCCACCCCCGGGAGGCTCAGGACCGCTCTCCTAGAGTGAGAAAGGCCTCCCTGTTTCTAGAAATCACAGCTGAGGAGCAACGGCTGAGGACGCGTGGGCACCATCCCGAATGTGTGACGAGGAGAAGATGTGTGCTCCCCACACAGAAGCTGCCGTGGGGACGCGTATCCGGGAAAAGTGCTCCGGCTCGACAGCTGTCCCGGCCGCAGGCAGCAGTGCTCCCGCGGTCACCTGCCTCTGGACCCCTCGGCAACGTCCGGCGGAAGCTGAAGAACCAAGGGCTTCTCCTGGGTCTCCCCTTCTAGTCCCTGGGGTGGCGGCTTTGGTGCGTCTAGATCACAACATGGTCGGGTGGTGCCTACGTGAACAGGGACGGGTGGGGAGAAGGCACGGTCTGCATGGAGGCAGACGGGAGGCCCGGGATGGCTGGGACCCGTGCCCCTGGAAGAGCTGGGGTGAGTCAGGCTGCCCCCCGCCTGGGGCTCGGAACTTGGCCCTGCAGGGTCACCTGAGGCCTGGCCTCTTCTGTGAACACCCATCATGCCGTGTACTCAGTCGTGTCTGACTCTTTGGAGTCTCATGGACTGTAGCCCTCCAGGCTCCAGTGTCCATGGGCAAGAATGCTGGAGTGGGTAGGCATTCCCTTCTTCAGGGGATCTTCCTAACCCAGGGATCGAACCCGGGTCTCCTACATTGCACACAGATTCTTCACCAGCTGAGCCACAGAGGAAGCCCGAAGCTCAGGCAAACACGAGAGGACGAGGTCTTCCTGCCCTGGAGCCTCCCTCGCGTGCCCAGACCCATCCTGATCTCCGTGGTTCAGAAGCCCTGAGGTCCAGGGCCACGTGGAGATGTGGCACCGGCCGGTGTGGGAGAAAAGCAGGAAGATTTATCTCTCGTGCAGGGAGACACTCCTGCAAGGGTCTCCTGCTCCACACTCAGATACCGGGGAGACGGCGGCTCTGGAATCATGGATGGGTATCATCCCCCCCTGTTCTGAGCACCCAGCCCTCCTGGGTGGTGTCACTAGTCCCGCCCAGAGAGCAGGTCTGGGACCAAAGTCGAGGCTGATGTCCTCTGCCAGACAGATTTTCTTCCAGTGCTGCTTTGTTGAGGAGCTGCCCCCCCAAAGGCCTTCAGTGACCCTAGAGAACATCTCCCCTGCCTTCCTAAGCTCACCTTACTGGCCGACCCCCTCCAGCCCTGCATCTGAATTCTGCTCTGGGAAACCCCGTCTGACTAGATGCCCGCCCTGTGCTTCCACGGCCAGAAGAACCCATCTGGCTCTTCACTCATTCACCCTAGTTGCTCCTAGTTCTGGCTCAGTTCACCTCCCTGGAGGTGTGTTTCCCAAGGCTTCTGTGCGGGGCATGGGGGAGGTGCGCAGGGCATGGCAGCCCCACCAGGGCATCACGGTGACCAGACCCCACTTCCCTCCAGGGAAAGGCCTCTGCCCTTCTTCTCCAGGCACTGGGGAGCCCCACCGAACCCCCAGTGCCCTTTTAACTCCAAAAGCAAGTTGTGGGAGAGAAAGGGCCAAAGGAGTCTGGGCAGACCCAGGCTGGGATCTCTGCTTTGCCATCGGTTAGCTGTGCTAACTCAGACAAGTTACTGAACCTCTCTGAGCCTCAGTCTCTCCCCTCCACAGTTGGTGTATTCATACCAACCAGGAGAAATAAACCAAAGAGTGTAAGACAGTCAGCCCTGGGCCAGCATGTAAGGTGTTGACCCAGTGAAGAAATGCTACATCACTCTCTTCTACACAACTCCAGCTTCAAAAAGTTAACCAGTTTATTTCCTCTTCCAAACTGCTCACCTACTGGTGAGTGTCAGCTGACTGCTCTTGTTATTCGGCTGCTCAGTGGTGTCCGACTCTCTGTGACCCCACGGACTGCAGTATGCCAGGCTTCCCTGTCCTTTGCTAGCAAAGGACACACATGTCCCAGAGCTTGCTCAGACTCACGTCCATCGCGTCAGTGATGCCATCCAACCATCTCATCCTCTGTCGCCCCCTTCTTCTCCTGCCTTCAATCTTTCCCAGCATCAGGGTCTTTTCCAATGAGTCAGCTCTTCGCATCAGGTAGACAAAGTATTGGAGTTTCAGCATCAGCGTCAGTCCCGCCAATGAACACCCAGGACTGATTCCCTTTAGGATTTACTGGTTGGATCTCCTTGCAGTCCAAGGGACTCTCCAGAGTCTTCTCCAACACCGCAGCTCAAAAGCATCAGTTCTTCGGTGCTTGGCCTTCTTTACGGTCCAGCTCTCACATCCATACATGACCACTGGAAAAACCAGAGCTTTGACTATATGAACCTTTGTTGGCAAAGTGATGTCTCTGCTGTCTAGGTTTCTCATAGCTTTTCTACTAAGGAGCAAGTGTCTTTTAATTTCATGGCCACAGTCACCATCTGCGGTGATTTTGGAGCCCAAGAAGATAAACTCTGTCACTGGTCAGCTGACAGTGGAGCGTATAGTTACTCAGCTCATAGAGAAAATGGCTACTAGGTCATTTGCCTTACACATGGGACTGCACAGGTCCACTTGGTCCAAACCCTGCCTTGCTAAGCGACTTTGACATTTGGGGTGTCTCATTGACTGGGCATTCCTGGTGGTTCAGACAGTAAGGAATCTGCCTGCAATTCAGGAGACCTGGGTTTGGTCCCCGGGTAGGGAAGGTCCCCTGGAGAATGGAATGGGTACCCACTCCAGTATTCTTTCTTGGAGAATCCATGAACAGAGGAGCCTGGCAGTCTACAGTCCAAGGGTTTGTAGATAGTCAGACAGCACTGAGCAACTAACAACACTTTCTTTCAACAACACATGGCCCAGAGTCTCTCTGCTGTGACCAGATCTCTGCCTTCTGCTCCTGAGATCAAAGGATCTTTATTAAACTTCATCCTTGACGTATCCTCAGTACACATCATCAAACGCTAAAAATCCTTTTGGCTGATAGACTCTAGTTTTTCAGCTCCAAAGGCAACCCCAAGCCTTCATCCAAAAGGACGCCTCACCCTCCTAGTTTCAGACTTTGCTGGACTGGTCTGTCTGTTGTCACTTTTTCCGAGGAGGTTTTGATAAATTCATCCTGTGCTTAAGACAAAGCGTAACTTCTTTGTTTTGTCAAAACCACTCCTAGCAAGACAGAGGGATCTTTGCAAGCAGATTCTTGCCCACAGGGACCTCAGAACCTGCCTCAGGTGGGTTCTTTCTGTGCAACTGGGGTCTTTCTGTGCAACCCAGCCTCCCTCCCGAACCACCTCCTTTCCAAGCGGCCCCATCCTGTGTCCAACTGGGGGAGGCTGGGCGGTTGGTGGTTTATCCTTCCTCTGCCCCGGGAGATCGCAAGATGGAGAGCCCGCAGCCTGCAGAGGGGGAGCCCAGCAGAGGGGGCTGCCTCCCCAAAGCCCAACCCTCCTATCCCAGAGACAACACCTCTCCAATCTGCATTCTCATCCAGAGCTGAAACCCCTCACGATGGAGGGTCAAGCCACACAGGAGGACATGGCCGCACCCTGTGGGTATTTATGGTTTTTGCACGGCACAGAGAGGATACGTGGGATTCGGGGACAGCCACCCCTCACGTGCCATTTTCTGCTACCTCGTGATATTTATAACATGAATTTGAGTGACCCCAAGGTCTTCCATCTGTTCTGATGTGCTGTCACAGCAACACCACCCATTGTGGTCTGCACCATGTTGCTCCGCTACTTCTAACACAGCCAAGAGCAGGCTGTTGGTACTTCACCCGGCGGAACAATAAAGATAGGAAACAGCCAGACAGTCGAGGAGGACGGGGACACGTAGGTAGTCCAGGGCCGCGTCACGGCCCCTGCAGCCTGAGGGTCCGCTCCCGAGCCCCATGCCAGGGGAGGGAAGCCTGGGTACCGGCCATGAGCCTGGGCCACCGGGGGCCCCTCCAGAGACAGTGACTCAGCGTCTCACCCACAGTCCACCCATCAGGTCCCGTTTAACACTCTCACTCAGAGAACAAAGGGATCAGAGCAACCCAGACCAAAAGATTCCAACTCTCTGGGATCTCCATGGCCAGGTTGCCCTGCCGACAGGGCAGGCAAGAAGTCCCCAGGCAAGAGTACTGGAGTGGGTTGCCATTTCCTTCTCCAGGGGATCTTCCCAATCCAGGGATCGAACCCGCATCTCCTGCATTTAGCAGTACCGTTTTACCACTGAGCCACCAGGGAAGCCCCCAAAACTTTGTAAAATAAAATGAGCATACGAACTTCTCAGTTGTCTACATTGCAGTAAGAATCAGCTGAGTCTTCCGTGACCCAGAGTCTGCACTGAGGCCGTGATGGGAGATGAGAAGGAAAAAACGTGATTTGGCTGAATGAGTGAGAAGCCATGTGGTCTGTTGCTGAAGATTTAGAGACCACAGAATATTAACACGCATTCTTCCTTTTCTGTACATTTGTTCCCAGATAGTTTGAATAACTTTCTTTCTACAGGAGAGATTGCAAAATATGACAACTGCCCTGAATTAAGGCATAGATTTCCCTTGGCAAGCAACATGCAAGGAAGTCAGCAATTTCTTTGCCTGGATTGGAATTGGAACAAAATCACAGTTTTGCTGGGGTTTTTTGGAATAATTGTATTTCTTCCAGGGCTCAAAATATTTTTAGGGTAAAGAGCACTGAAGAATTTATTATTATAACTCTAGCATCAAAATATGAAGAAATATCATGTTTCCAAAAAATTGAGTTTATCGCATACAATGCTAATTAGGATGGAAACTGGGCTTAATGGACTCCAACTGTGTCTAGGCTGCTTTTATTTCTGAAGAGAAAAGATGCCATCAATACCATCCACCCTTATAATGGTTGTACCTTTTAGAATGTTCCATACATTTTAGAATGTTCCTTACCTTTCAGGCAGGAGGGTACATCATTATCTTTTGTTTTTCAGTTGCTAAACCACATCCAACTCTTTGCAATCCCATAGACTGCAGCACTCTGGGTTTCCTTGTCCTTCACTGTCTCCTGGAGTTTGCTTGAACTAAGGTCCATTGAGTCAGTGATGCCATCCCACCATCTCATCCTCTGTCATCCCCTTCTCCTGCCTTCAATCTTTCCCAGCATCAGGGTCTTTTTAAATGAGTCAGTTCTTCACATCAAGTGGCCAAAGGATTGGAGCTTCAGTTTCAGCATCAGTCCTTCCAATGAACATTCAGGGATGATTTCCTTTAGGACTGACTGGTTGGATCTCCTTGCAGTCCAAGGGACTCTCAAGAGTCTTCTCCAGCACCACAGTTCAAAAGCATCAATTATTCAGTGCTCAGCTTTCTTTATGGTCCAACTCTCACATCCGTACATGACTACTGGAAAAACCACAGCTTTAACCATACAGACCTTTGTCAGTATCTTAGTACATACATTTAAGCCAAAGGTGGGAAAATCAAAGGAAGAAAGAGGTAGTTTTGCTAACAGGTTTTACTCTGTGGTTGTCATCATTTAACCTGAATATTTCCTTTTATAAGGAAAATATCCGTAGATACAGCACTGTGTCGCTGAATTGAAGCTGGAGGAGGGCCCCCTGCACACCGTGCCTCAGAGAGTGTGGCCCTGCCAACATCTGGGTTTTTCATGCTTCTGGCTCCAGAACCATGGGAGCAACTTTTGTTTTTAGCTGCTGTGGTCCTTCGTGTCAGCAGGCCTGAGACACAGATACTACCTCACTGGGGAAGGCTGGTGGCTGGGCTCACGTGGGCTCCTCTCCTAGAAGCTCTGCTCCCCAGGAAGGGGTCTGGGGGTGCTGACGGGTGGCCAGCCCTGGTCCCCGGGTCCCAAGATGGCATTCACGCAGCAGGGAGAGTGGCAGGTTTGATATCCGAGCTGGTGGTTTCTCGCAGTGGATGAAGGCGCGAGAAATAGCGCAGCTGTACCTAAAGTGTGTTTCCTTAAGGAAGGGATGAGTGTCAATTTTTGTCAGCCAGAACCGGCCTCCTCACTTTGGAAATCACATTTCAGTGTCTCTGTTTTCTTCACAACTTAAAAGGGAGTGAGAACGATCTTGGAGCACTTTCTCAGGACACGTACATGGGGCAAGAAGACAGGGAAGGCTGTGGATCCCCTGCAATGAACACAGGTCTCCCTGGCAGCGTGGTCCAGGGACACTGGGCCCAGAGTCGCTGCATCCTCCCACCCCCTACCCAAGGGACTTGAGAGGTCCCGAGGAGCCGCTGCATCCTTTCCACACCCGGGTCAGGTGGGCGCTTGGGGCAGCCGGGGGTCAGCATCCAGTGGGACAGGGGGCAGGGGGCCGGCATCCAGTCCCCCGGGCAAGCCTTTCTCAGGCCCCCATCCATCTTCATCCTGCAATTAGGCTTCCCCGACGGCAAAGGGAGTGTTGCTATGAGACACACTGGCAAATCGGGCAGATTTGAGTCCCCGGTCACCAGAGCGGGAGGTCCATTGTCCCAGTGGCGTAACTGCTGATCCAGGAGGCAATAAAGCAAGCGGTGGGCGCTGGGGGCCGGGGCTGGGGAGGCGGCCCCTTCCAGGCGCTCCCTCTCACCCTCGGTGAACCAGCGCCTCTGGAAGGGCCCCGGATGTGCCTCTTGTTTAACCTCCAGGAGGAGGGGCGCGAGAAGGAGAGGGGGCATCAAAACTAAAGAGAATTAATGAGCCTTCACACATTGCCCTGTTCCTTTTGTGGTAAAAAAAAAAAAAAAAAATCTAGGGGGACGCGAAGAAGTCAGGGGAGAGTGTCCGGTGAAGAACCATTAATCCGAGGCTGTAAATCCCACTAAACATTAACTTCATCCCACGGCGATCGCGGTCTCTTTGGCGGAGGGACCTTCTCGCAGGCCTGCAGGAATCAGCCCTTCCGGCTCCGGGCAGAGGTCACGCCCACAAATGCGAGGGGCGGGGTCCTCACCGTCCCCAGCCCACGCCCCTCCGCCCCCCACCCCCGACCCCGGATCGTTCAGACTTCCCCTTTATGGGACATCACACTGGTTGACTGCAGGAGCAAGGGGTCAAGGGCGTGGATGAGACCCTGCACTGCTCCCTGGTGGAACTGAACCACCTTAAGGTCTGTTTTTCTGCATTACCACTGCACAGACCGCACCCGGAGCTTCACCACGTGGAAATCACAGGCTGAGGGATTCTCCTGGTTTCTCATAGCTAAGATGCTGCTCCGGGAGAGGTCTCAGCCATGGCTCTGAGATTTCAGTTCATCTTTTCTCTATTGGAAGGAGTTCAAAATCATTGCATTTGGAGAGAAACAAATCAGCAAATAAAATTATGCTACACCGCATGCACACATCCCACGCACATACACACACCACATGTGTACACTCATACACATACCACACACAGAGATGCATATATGCACATACAACATGCCACACACACACCCACAACATCACACACACACTCTCGCACACAAATATGCCACACATACATGCACACACACACACCCACAACACAACACACCCGTACAACATACCCTGACACACACACTCCAGAGTGACTGTTGTTGTTCAGTTGCTAAGTCATGTCAACTCTGTGACCCCACGAACTGCAGCACTCTGGGCTTACCTGTCCTTTGCTATCTCCAGGAGCTTGCTCAAACTCATTGACTCGGTGATGCCATCCAATCATCTCATCCTCTGTTGTCCACTTCTCCTCCTGCCTTCAATCTCTCCCATCATCTGGGTCTTTTCTAATGAGTCAGCCCTCTGACTCAGGTGGCCAAACTACTGGAGCTTCAGCTTCAGCATCAGTCCTTCGAATGAATATTCAAGATTGATTTCGTTTAGGATGGACTAGTTGGATCTCCATGCAGTACAAGGGACTCTCAAGAGTCTTCTCCAGCACCACAGTTCAAAAACATCTATTCTCTGGCACTCAGTCTTCTTTATGGTCCAACTCTCACATCCAAACATGACTACTGGAAAAACCCTACCTTTGACTATGTGGACCTTTGTTGGCAAAGTAATGCCTCTGCTTTTTAATAATATGCTTATAATAATATGCTTTATAATTTTAAAGTGACAGACTTTATTTTCTTTGGCTCCAAAATCACTGCAGATGGTGACTGCAGCCATGAAATTAAAAGACACTGGTTCCTTGGAAGAAAAGTTATGACAAACCTAAACAGTATATTGAAAATCAGAGACATCACTTTGGTGACAAATGTCCATATGAATATAGTCAAAGCTATGTTTTTTTTCTAGTAGTCATGTATGGATATGAGAGTTGGACCATAAAGAAGGATGAACACCAAAGAGTTAACACTTTTGAACTGCTGTGTTAGGAAACATTGAAGGCAGGAGGAGACAGGGACCAGAGTATAAGATTGTTGGATGGCATCACCGGCTCAAGTTTGATCAGTCTCCAGGTGACGGTGAAGGACAGGGAAGCCTGGCATGCTGCAGTCTATGGGGTTGCAAAGAGCTGGACATGACTGAGGGATTTGAAAACAACAAGTGTGTGGCTTGTTATATGTAGCACAATATGCATATCTTATATATACAGTAATATAATTTAAATGTATAATTTATAATAAACATTTTAAATTGTGGCATTTTCTTTTTTTAAACTTTTTATTTTATATTGGCTATAGTTGATTCACAATGTTATATTAATTTCAGGTATATAGCAATGTGATTCTGTTATACATGTATAGATACATGTATAGATAGATCTATAGATACGTATATATCTATATCTATAGATATAGATCTATAGATAGATACATGTATCTGTCACACATGTATCTATCTGTCAACGTCTTTCCCACTTAGGTTATTATAGAATGCTGAGCAGTGTTCCCTTGATGTTCCTTGATGGCTGTCCATTTAAAATACACTAGTGTGTGCAGGTCAATCCCAAACTCCCGATCTGTGCATCCCCCAGCCCTTCCCTGCTGGTGACCATAAGTTCATTCTCTCTGTCTGTTAGTTCTATGTCTGTGTCTGTGAGTCTATTTCTGTTTTGCAAATAAGTTCCTCTGTATCATTTTTTGGATTTCACATATAAGCAGTGCCACACCATATTTCTCTTTCTCCCTCTGATGTTTTCTAGGTCCATCCACGCTGCTGCAGATGACATTATTTCATTCTTTCTAATGGCTGAGTGGCATCACATTGCATAGCTACACTTCATCTTCTTTATCCATTCTTCTGCCGATGCACATCTAGGCGATTTCCCTGTCTTGGTTATTGTAAGCAGTGCTGCAATGAACACTGGGGTGCATATGTCCTTCTGGACCATGTTTCTCTCCGTTTATATGCACAGGAAGAAAATACATAGTAACTTGGCCAATTTGTTTCAGATTTCTGGGGTATTTTCTCTATTCTTAGGAGGCATGCTCTCATCTTAAACCTGTATCTTCAGTTTTTCCGCACAACCAAACAGCCAGAGAGGCACCGAGAAGCACTGTTGAGAAGAGCTCTTCTTCGGATGGCCGGGTCCACAGTGACTGAAGCCAGCGGGCTCCCGCGGCAGGGCCGCCTGCAAGGCGGCGGACGAGCGCCCGTGTGGCCAGCAGGCAGTGCTGAGCCTTGGAGACAAAACAGCGCCTCCGTGTGTGGGGACGGAGCTCCGAGGCCCAGAGGCGCCGCTGAAGGCTTCTGGGGGCCTAGATTGTTCTTGATCGCTCTGTTCCCGCTTTCCAAAAACGCATATTTTACCATGCACTTATAATTTGGGAGGCGTTTCTGTATGTATGCTCTAGTCAGTACAAACTCACCTAAATAAGAAAGAAGCCAGGAATAGACTGGAGTCAGAGGAGCCCTGTGTGCAGGGCCCTCCAACTTTTTTTTCTTCCATCACTGGTCCTCTGTGCTATGGAAAAGCGCGAGACCCCAATATTTCCTGTGAATCAGCCAAGGAAAGGCAGGACAAGTGAGTAAAATGACCTCGGAATTCTTCTCTCTCAAAAAGGAAAAGGCCCACACTCTTATTCTGATGTAGGCTTAAACATGGGGTTTCCAGAGGAGAATTCACTGAGCTTCAAATTAGAAATGGGAATGGTGCTCAGTGGGTGGATTTGCGAGTTTGTTTTCCTAACACAGACCTAAAATTGTGTTGGGCCTGTTGCTTTTCACATCTGTTACTAGTGAGCCTTGATAAAAATTTAAAACAGTCTCCATGTTTATTAAATTATCACATGCTGGGTCTCCAAAAATCACACATTTCCCAGATCCTGTCTTAAAGGAGAAATGTTAGAATTTTGTTTTGTTTCTTGACAAACCTGAGGGAATTTCTTAACCTGTCCTCAGTTAGACAAACCAATAAGCATATATTTTTTTTTTCCTAAGTCGAGAAACACTTCGAAGGGCTGCTAACAAAATTAGTCAGTCCTAAAAGTCCACCTGGGCACATAAATCCTGTCTGATGCAGAGCTGAGGCTATGCCGAGTTACACGTGTCTTTAACTTTAAGCTGTTTTACCATCAATGAATGTCACGTCAGATGTGAACAGTATAGTCACTGTTCACAGAAGCTGCTGCAGGCTCCATCTACCTGATTGAGCTCAATGGGGCTGTTACCTTTTTAGACGATTCGCGCCTTCAGATCCCAACCAACCTGTGCCTGTAAGAGCAAAACTACACCAATTCTCGTAAGATCAGAAACTTCCAGGGGAAACAAAGTGAAGGGATAAACTAAGAGTCTGAGATGAACATATTCACTCTACTATGTGTTTTGATGTTGTTCAATCACTCACTCCTAACTCTTTGTGACCCCATGAACCGCAGCATGCCAGGCCTCCCTGTCCATCACCAACTCCCGGAGTTTACTCAAACTCATGTCCATTGAGTTGGTGATGCCATCCAACCATCTCATCCTCTGTCGTCCCCTTCTCCTCCCACCTTCAATATTTCCCAGCGTCAGGGTCTTTTCAGATGGAGTCAGTTCTTGGCATCAGGTGTCCAATGTTGGAACTTCA